AGCAAAACATTACTTTTTTTCTAAAAAAATGCTTTGAACATGCTTAAAGTATAATTTTTTTTTTAAAAAAAAATAGCCTTTGGAGACTAGCCTGTTGGTTATTTTTTTCAAAAAAAAGATCTTATCTTTTGTAAATAACTTCTCATTTTTTTAAAAAAAAAAGTTTGTCTAATGTTAGAACAATAGAAATTTTTTTGTAAAAAAATTATAATAATTTTTTATATTTATTATTATTTTTTTTAAAAAAAATATTATTATTATTTTTATATTTATTTCTTTTTTTTTAAAAAAAATCTTAATGCCATTACATGCCAATGACATTTTTTTTTAAAAAAAAAAAAAAAAAAAAAAAAAGAAACAGCTTATTTTTTTGGAAAAAAAAAAACATAATTTGCTCCCTTGTCCCCAGTTTTTTTTAAAAAAAAAGGATTCTATGTACAGTATTATGTCATTTTTTTTTTTAAAAAAAAAAAAAAAAATAATCTAGTTTTTAGGGTTTTTTTTGCAAAAAAATATTATGCTTAGAAACAAATGGGTTTCATTTTTTTAGAAAAAAACTGTTTATCAGAAAATGTTTGTATTTGTTTTTTTTATAAAAAAATTGTCAAATAATGAAGAAAGATACTAACAGCACCGCCATAGTAGTCAGCGTCATCATGATAACCATAATTGTTTTTTTTCTAAAAAAAAGACAAGATCAGAAAAGAGAGAAGAGACTTTTTTTATAAAAAAAAGAAAAAGATGGAAGAAGAAAACAGAAATTTTTTTGAAAAAAAATGAATGGAAGTGAAATAGAGTTGCCACCTTTTTTTAAAAAAAAAGGAAAGGGAGAGAGGGAGGCAGGGAAGGTTTTTTTGAAAAAAAAAAGGAGGGAAGCAGAAAGAAAGGGTGGGTTTTTTTGAAAAAAAATAGAAGAGGGCAGGGAAGGAAGGAATGATTTTTTTAGAAAAAAAGATGGGGAGGGAGGGAGAGGAGGACAGGTTTTTTTGGAAAAAAAAAGGAAGACAAGGAGAAAGGGAGGGAGGTTTTTTTGGAAAAAAAGGATGGAAGGAGGGAGGAAGAGGAGGAGTTTTTTTGGAAAAAAAACAGGGAGAGAGGAGGGCAGGGAAGGAATTTTTTTGTAAAAAAAACAGGGAGGTAAGGAGTGGGGAAGGAATTTTTTTTAGAAAAAAATTTAAGTTCTAAAACAAGCAGGAATGAGTTTTTTTAGAAAAAAAGAAGGTAGATTAGTATAAGGGAGGTTAGTTTTTTTAAAAAAAAAACAGATGAAGAGACAAACACAGTTACTGTTTTTTTAGAAAAAAAAAAAACGAGACAATCAGACGTATGAAGATTTTTTTTTAAAAAAATGGATGGACAGACAACAGATCGACACACTTTTTTTTAAAAAAAAATGGAATTTTATGGTCCTAGTAATGGAGTTTTTTTGAAAAAAAACAAGATGTATGAAGAAACAGATTAATGGTTTTTTTGAAAAAAAACAGAACGACACACAGACAAATACCCAATTTTTTTTATAAAAAAATGGTCCTAGTAATGAAGAAAGATGGACATTTTTTTAGAAAAAAAAAACAGAGTAATGGATGGATGGACAGACTTTTTTTCGAAAAAAAGACAAATACCCAATGAAATGGGAATAAGTTTTTTTTAAAAAAAAAAAGAAAGATAGAAAAAGAGAACCTTGTTTTTTTTATAAAAAAAATTTGCATGGTATTGTGGATCAAAAGTGTTTTTTTAGAAAAAAACCTACAGAGAAAGAAAACTAGATTAGAGTTTTTTTAGAAAAAAATCCAATGAGATGGACTATTTTTATCATATTTTTTTCAAAAAAAATTATTTATTTATATATTAATTATTCTATTTTTTTTACAAAAAAATATTATTGAATACCATGCAACATAAACATTTTTTTACAAAAAAAACAAAGAATGGAGGCAATAAAAAAGCCATTTTTTTCAAAAAAAACACCAAACTTGTGCTATTCACAAGGATCTTTTTTTTCAAAAAAATATCATTGAAGCAAAAGTAAAAGACTAGTTTTTTTTTAAAAAAACTGCATTCACTTGTGGCAATTGAAGCTGTTTTTTTTAAAAAAAAATTTCTAACTGAAGTTGCTCTTCAGCAATTTTTTTACAAAAAAATTTGTCATTTATGTCACAAAAACTGCAATTTTTTTGCAAAAAAAGCCATGTGTGGAGGAGGGTTAAAAATTATTTTTTTTTAAAAAAAAAACCCCTCATTCTGATATTTTCCTTGCTTTTTTTTTAAAAAAATTTAAAAGTAACTTCATCTTACTGTATTTTTTTTTTTAAAAAAATACTTAGCTTTTTAGCAATAAAAACTAGTTTTTTTATAAAAAAAAAATTACTGTTTATTAATATACGCAAGATTTTTTTAAAAAAAAAATCTGTAAAACAGTATACAATCATGTGATTTTTTTAGAAAAAAACTTGCAGCATCTCTGTGATCACTTTACTTTTTTTTAAAAAAAAAAAGAAAAGTGTAATGTTCTTGATCTGTATTTTTTTATAAAAAAATGTGACTATTTGAGCAAAATGCTTGCAGTTTTTTTGTAAAAAAATTAGGTCAAAACGAAACAACTACTATTGTTTTTTTATAAAAAAAATTTAAGTTTACAATCTACTTGAAAAGATTTTTT